AGTTCGTTAATAGAGGCGTTCATATCCCGAGGTACCACTGTATATTCATATCAAGTGAAGTTCATCTGGGCCCTATGTGTTCTGCTTGATTTTGGAGTCAATACCTGTTTTTTATCTTGTATCTTCTTAAACTCTTCACAAGCTTGCCAGAATAAAACATTTTCTTCACTAAATTCTCTCTTTAAAAAGTCCTGATAAGGGGAAAAAGTAGCTATTAAAATAAAGTATCATAACCTAGTATTCAGCCTTTATTACTTTCATCTAGAGTAGAAGGGCATACGAATAAAAATTTGACACTGTTAAATAAATGTATAACCTCTGACTCAGTGCTGGTTAACTTCTGGTTAGGATTTCTGCAATAGTAAAATAAATATTAAATTACTTTAATTGTGACTTTATATTTTGAGACATTTTGAGAAGTCCTGGCAGTCAATTATTAAAATAATTTAAGTTGTCCCAAATATTCTATTCTTTTCTTAAATATCGACTGACACTTTGGGTTTTTTAATTTGAAATCATAACTTTACTCCACATTTCTTTGAAATTTACATCTAACTTTCCATTTTGAACACCGCCCTTATGCAAGAAGAAATCTCATTTCTTTTTAAGAATTATCATCATCCTTTAATTTAACTAGTATTATATAATGGCTACCATAATTTCTTAGTATTAAGTAAATTAAATAAGGCCTTCGGATGCAGAACAAACAGGATTTTCTGACATCCTTGCAAATTTAATGCCAAGCTCTAAAATAGGTATGTACAAACTGAGTGTCTGCGGCAATATGCTGCTTCCCCTGAATATCTGGCTACAACTCAGAGCCTCTACAAAAGTTGCTACCAAACTGCAATTGTTCATATGGCATTAATGGAAAATGGATTCAAGAGGAACTATTTATATTCACAATTTAATTGATTATTTTTTTTTGTTCTGGATCAACTTCCTTTATTTAAAGTTTATTATTATTTATTAACTACATTTATAAGGCTGTCCAACTTATGCAATATGACTCTAAGCGGCATACAACAACAAAAAACAAACAATAAGCCCAAAAAATGCAAAACATTGAAATATACGTGATATAAATACAAAATATAAAAACGGTGACCAAGCGCCATAACAAAACAACCAAAAGGGGACTGCACTCAACTGGCCTATAATGCCTGGGGGAAAAAACAGGTCTCAGCGTGTTTCCCAAAAGCAAGCAGAGTTGGGGCCTGTCATATACCAGATGAGAGATCATTCCAGAAAACAAGGGCAACCTCAAAAAAGACATGCATCCTCTGTCCCATAATATGACAAGATTTAAAACAAGGAAGCTGGACTGTACCATCCTTCTTCATCCTGACCTTGTCCACTTTAATGGAGTGCAACCCTCACTGCCACTCAAAGATCAAGTGCAGATTTTGCCCAAAATAGCTCTGTACCCATGTCTAAAAGCTTATAGTATACTTCATAGGTTTCAGTATCCACTTCAACTCAAGGACATCACTTTCTCTAGTAATCTTCATGCAACTTCGAGGAGAGGATTAGGATTAGGGGAGAAACCGAGTAATGGCTCTCAAGCAAAAGTTTCACACCCCTGTTTATATGAACTGGCACACTTATCTATCACCTCAACGATTATGAATTTGAACTTCAAACATCTTTCCCTAGAAGCAAGTGCCACTAATATAATCAGGATCCTCAGAATAAATTACTTGCATAATGTTGATTTTTGTAATGAAGAGATATAGCTTTAATTGGTTGGAAATTGTATTTAGGTCTGTGTGGTAAATAATACTTAAGATACCAACCCTAAAGTTCTTTACACCTTCAGGATCTTCCAGCAAACTTTCCAAAGACTGAGCCCATCTTGTGGTACCATTTAGGCTCTGATGGCTACTGCATGACTTGCTGTCACTGTCAGTTATTTCTGAAAAATAAAGTTAATTAAGTTTGTGTATTTCTTCTACTTAGAGCTGCGGAACTTTCCATCTGTCAAAAGGCTGTGAGACTGTTCAATTAATTTGTAGTTTTGAAGATGATGAGATCCAACAAACATATATTTCAGTGTCGTGTAATTTAATCTGCAATTAACTACAGATCTCAGGATTCAGGTTCAAAGGGTAGAAAAATGCAATATAGTATGAATATAGTCTTACCTGGTATAAGGCAACATCCTATATTTCTGTGGCTAATCATGTTTCCCTGTTTTGCATCACACACAGCAAAGCTATCAGCAACATTTTATAAGACATCAAAACCTTATTCAAATGAGTAGACATGCTTGTATGGTATATATGAAAGAATGTGACTTTATTAAATGTGACTAAGGCTATATACATCATCTTCTCCAAGCTGATAAACTAGACAGAACTTTTTCAAGGAGGTCCAAAAAGGCAATAGCGCTAGATGTTAAACATTTGTCTCGTAAGCAAGTTGGAATATTTCCTAAAGGAGGATTATGTAGCAGAACAATTACACAAATATATATCCATATACAGTCGTGTGAAAAAGAAAGTACACCCTCTTTGAGTTCTATGTTTTTACATATCAGGACATAATAAAAATCATCTGGTCCTTAGCAGTTCTCAAAAGCAAGTAAATACAACCTCAGATGAACAACAACACATGACATATTACACCATGTCATCATTTATTTTAAAAAAAAAAAGAAAAAATGGAGAAGCCAT